TATTATAATACGGGTGTAGAAAAAAAAACTTTTACAGTTTTTTCAGTAGTAATTTATTTAAAAACTTCGTGATATGAATACTCATGATATTTAATCATGGCTAATTCTTATTGTTTATCTATTCCACACCACTATTTACTTTTATCTTGCTTTAAATTATTTTCTAAGTCTATAACATAACTTTTTTGTATTTATTTGTTTATTAATCAGAATAATTACAAAATGATTTTACAAGATAGAAAGGTTGGCGAGTGTTAGATTAAATAACAGCTAAATTATCATGATAGGATTAAGACGTTGCTATCTTTGCAATTTCAGACCAAATTTTCTGCGTTTGTTTATCCATATCGGATGCATCTGAGATGTTGTGAATCTTTGATCACGTGATTCAAGGTACGTAAATTAGTTGGAGCAGATGCGTTTGATGTGGATAAACAAACGTTCTACAGGTCAGGTACAAAATCGAATGTGGATATCCAAACGTAGCAATTCTATTTTACATTGTATATTTTCTTTTTTTTTTTGGAGAATACTCCTGCCCCAGTGCCTTCCGCAGTCTTAGACCCGTCTGTATACCAGGTTTGTTCCTGTCGTTGGGCATTGGGCTCCCTTATGGTGATCTCCACTCTTTCCTGTATTAAAACGTCAAAGGGAGTATTAAAAGAGTACCTCTTGGTTAAGTGGTCTGATCTCATGTCTAGCACGTCTCCTGTCACTAACCTTGAGATACTCATGTGACCTGGCCTAATGTCAAGATTTCCCAGTGTATTCCCTAATCTGTAAGCACCTAATCTTGCCTCCCCTTGTATCACATAGTGAAGAGGTGGGAGTCCTATTAGTGCTTCCATTGCAGCAGTGGGGGTTGTTTTCATTGCCCCCGTTATTCCGAGGCAGGCAAGTCTTTGTACCTTGCTAAGCCTCGTTATTGCTTTCCTTTGCTGTGTCTTTGGCCACCACACCAAAGCTGCGTATGTTATTATGGGTCTCACCACCATGTTATAAATCCAATATACCATGTCTGGTTTTAACCCCCATTTTTTTCCAAAGGATCGCCTTGCCATCATTAATGAGATTTCCGCTCTCCTTGTGGTTCTTTCTAGATGCTGGTTCCAGGTAAGTCTCGAGTCAATCATAACCCCGAGATATTTTACCTCCCCCTTAAGCTGGATGCTTGCACCTCTTAGGTTTAGAGGCCCTAGTCCCTCCAATTTCCTCCTGCGGGTGAATGCAATTATGTCAGATTTGTTTGGGCTAATGTTTAGTCCTTCCGCCTCTGTCCATTTTGTTACTATATTTAGAGCCTCTTGCATTCGATCTCTTACTATAGTGTTGTATTTTTCCTGTGCCATGATCACTAGATCATCGGCATATCCCAGGGTTCTATGTCCCTTATCTTTCAGAGCCCTAAGCAGCTCGTCCACTACAAGGTTCCACAGGAGTGGAGACAGCACTCCACCCTGTGGACATCCTCTCGCTACCCGTGCCGCTGTTGTCTCTCCCATAAGGGTTGTGTGTATAGTTCTCTCCCTTAACATAGAGTCGATCCAGGACACGCATGTGTCCTCGATTCCTCTGTGTTTGAAAGATCTAATGATCGATTCAACGGAGGTATTGTCGAATGCACCCTCGATATCCAAGAATGCTCCCAGCATTACCTCCTTGTTTTCCAGTGTGTCCTCCACCCTTTTTATTAGTTGATGGAGAGCTATTTCAGTTGATTTCCCTGCACTATAGGCGTATTGGTCTTGGTATATTGGCCTTTGAACCAATATCCCGTCTCTAATATGCCTACCTAGCAGTCTTAAGTAAGTACGAAGGACATAAGACTTATTGGTCTTAGGGATTTTGCCGTTTCCTGTCCCATTTTCCCGGGTTTTGATATAACAGTTACCCTAATATTTCTCCAAGCTTTTGGTATGTGTCCAAAGGCCAGGCTACTTCTGTATAAAATATCAGGACCTCTTTGTAACATTATTGGATACATCCCGTCCATGCCCGGTGATTTATATGGTTCGAATGAGCTAATTGCCCATTTCAGTTTATCATAGTTCACCACTTGTTTGGCTATCCTCCAATCTTCCCTGTTGGCTCTATTATGAGCTTCCAGTCCGTTTAGATTCCGGTTAACCTTCCCTGTGATTGTGTACTCCCCAAGTTTATTCTTAAGGTAGTTGATCAAATAGATCTATCGAGTAAAATAAACAAACCTTTTGGAAAATATTCTAATAAAAAATCAATGTTCTTAATACCATTTGCAGAAATTGAATTATTAAATAAAAAATTAAAAAATCATCAGGTGCAGACGATGTGCCCAGTTATATTATAAAAAAACTCACTCGAGAATATTCTAGACCCGCTGACATATTTAGTAAACTTGTCATTCGAATCCGGTGCATTTCCTGCCAAACCACTTACAGGTAAAGTGTTGCCATTATACAAAAAAAATTATTCGATGTCATTGGAAAATTATAGGCCTGTGACAGTTTCCTGTGGATTATCTAAGATATTCGAATATACATTTCTACAGATCGCCTTTTAATATTTTTAAAACGACATCAAATTGTCGCAAAAAATCAACATGGATTTTACGCAGAAAAGCCAACAACAGCCATGATCTCATTTTATAATCAGATTATTGAACATATTGAAGCAGCCGAGTGCCCTGTGGCGATATTCTGTGATTTAAGTAGGGCATTCGACTGCATGAATCATGAATTATTATTATCTGTACTGGAGACATATGGAATTAGAGGCAATTCTTTAAAATAGATCTCCACCTTTATTAAAGACCTACAGCAATATGTATCTCTAAACTTTAAAATAGACAATAAAACTAAATAAATTAACTCTAATCTTTTGATTACACCTATGGGAGTTCCACAAGGGTCAATATTGAGGCCAATATTGTTTATTTTATATGTCAACAGTGTAGATCATTTAATAGGTAATAATCATTGTGTTGTATATGCTGACGACTTTTCTGTGATAGTTTCATCAAATAACAGTGATGCGTTAAAAGTTTCTAACCATTTTAATAGTTTAGATTTGTTTTTTAACACTAATAAAACAGATCTCATTAGGTTTCATAACAGGCAGAATATTCTAGATGATTTTAGCGTTTATATGGGTAATTTCAGTACACCCGAAAGCGTTCGTTTTCTTGGGATTCATATTGATCAATGTCTTAATTGGAAGTATCACTGCAGTAAATTTGTAGGAAAAATGAATTCGCTAAATTATCTTTTTATAAATTTACGAGAGGTGCTGCAATCTCATCAACTTGTTAGTGTTCATTTTGTTCAAGTCGACTCTCGACTTAGATATGAAGTATGTCTCTGGGGGTAATTCTACAGATGCTTCTAATGTTTTCACTGCACGAAAGCGAGTAATACGATGTATAGCAAACATTTCACAAAGCATGTCCTGTAAACCATATTTTAAAAACTATGGAATACTCCCACTTCCATCTTTGTACATTTTTGAAATTTGCGTGTACATCTTTAAAAACAAAAGTTGTTTTATGACTAACAGAGATGTTCATAGTTATCAAACAAGACACGTTGATGAAGTGTACGTGCTTTATGCAAGGTTGCACATTAGTTCCAACGCACCAAATTTTCTGGGTCCAAAATTGTTCAATAAACTCCCAATTGAAATAAAAAATGTGCAAATATTAATATTTTTAAAAATAATTTGAAAATGTATCTCCTGGAAAATGTGTTTATTCCTTAGCTAATTTTTTATATTTTTAGTATTTTAATCTGTTTAGAATTATAGCGTGATTGTATTTAGTATTTTAAATTTTATTTGATGTATTTATTTAGATTTAACCTTATGTTTTATTTACTGCTATCCTTTATTATTTTTTTATCTCATATTTTTTTCTCTTTCTAATTATATATATATTGACGAATCTTATACAAATATAATTATTGTCTTATGAAAAATAAAGAATTATTATGTTCGATTATGGTAATACATGAAAATGCACCTTATTTCAGTAATTAATATTCCTATTTTTTGAACACACTGTATGATTTATTTTACAAAGTGAAAGTAAGCATTAACAAGCCATATACAAGTGTAACGGGTTAAGGGGGTTGAAGTATTAAAAAAATCATAATTCAAAAACAAAAAAAGATCAACTTGAAATTTTTAGCAAAAATTAAACTCTATAAGGAGACAAAGTTTATTGATTTTAAAAAAAAATTGTGAAAGGGTTGAAATAAAAAAGTGAAAATCAAACATCGAAAGAGATATCAATATGAAACTTTTAGTAAAAATCAAACTCTATAAGGGAATGAAGCCTATCGATTTACAAAAAATCTGAATAAAAATGAGGTTTCAGGGGGTCTGAAAAAAAACAATCATAACTCAAAACGATATCAACATGAAATTTTTAGTAAAAATCCAGCTCTATAAGGAAATGAAGCCTATTGATTCTGAAAAACATCTGAATCAAAATTGGGGAATAAGGGGGGTTGAAATATTTAAAAAAATCCTAACTTAGAAATAAAAAAACGATATCAAATTGAAATTTTCAGAAAAGGGGATGATGCATATTGATTCTGAATTTGTTTATTGAAGATGGGGTGTTAAGGGTGTCTGTTAAACTGTGAAGAGTATAATATAAAATGCCAAGCATTATATATATTTTTTCTAGTTTTAAACATCTTCTCTATTTTCGAATCGATGGTCAGATGATAATTTATCAAAATGTTTACATAATAATTTTTCCAAGTGTTCAGGGTTGGTGCAAGATGTTATGGCCCCGATACACCGCACCATTTTGCCCTATAATATACGGTTTTCTTTTGGCTTTTTCTCTTTCTTTTTGCGGGATGTGTCATTATTCCGTTTCTTTAGTTTTATTATCCCCGCACTAAACCTTCTTCTATCAAATAAAACAGCAAACAGAGGATCAAAATCCTAGCCCACTATTGGTCAAGCAGGAGATTTTCATGTTTATGAATATTATGAATAAATTTATAACTACTTACTTGCTAATTCTTTTCCCATGGGCTGTCTCACTACGCGAGAAAATAACAAAAACAAGAAAAATTGAAATTAAACTCGATTTCAATCGCATGATTTTATATTTCTTAAAGCAGTACTTTCTCTCAACTTTTCCCGCCGAAAACACACCAAATATTACACCGTTTTCAATTTCAAATAGTCGCCTTGCTGTTCTACCTATTATCTTTTTGTTTTCTATCAATCGGGAAATGTGTTATTTTTTTTGTTTGCTTTTGTTTCAATAGGTCAAGATCGCTGCAATGCGAATGGAAACGATTTGAATCAATTTGCAAAATAAGGATTATGTTGTTATATACCAGTTTCTAATACGAAAATGGGCCGTACTTAGAGTAAAAGCAAACTATTTAATCGGTAATACTTTGTTTTTTTTTTGTTTATTTCAATTTACCTATATAGGTACATTTTCATGTCTTTATCTATTTATACATGCATGAATTTGTTAGTTAAAAATAGATTATTATTAGCAAGAAAAGGTACTTAAATATTAAGTAAAAGTTTTTTTTTTTAATACGAATCAAATACCAGTACCAGTACAATTATAAGTAAAAAAGGAAATACTTAAAATATCGAGTAAATTGACTTGAATTACCCAAATTCCACGAAAATCAGAGTCAAAGTTTAAGTCCCACATAATAATATGAGGACAGACGATATCATCAATAGTCGTTTTATTTTTACGACTAATCTGAGATAACATCGACTAAGCTTAGCTGTACGTTCTTTTTTCTTTCTTCACCCCAGCGTTGGGTTTACTAGTACAATTGTACTAGATTCAGTACATTTCAACCATTCATAAATGCTAGTACCACAAAAGATAAAAGTCTCTAATTCTAGTACATTTTAAAAATGTTGCTGGATCTTCTTATGATTTCTAATTTCTATGTTAGACAGTAGATACTTCTGACACTCCCAATGCAATACTTTATACTAGAGATAAGGAACTATAAGGTATTTTTCCCGGCATAAACCAACATAAACATGTATTATAGATTATGTTATTTAGACGTCTATAGACGTATATAGATGTCCAAATAACATAATCTATCATAAACGTTCATGTTGGTTTATGCCGCGAAAACTACCTTTATGAGTCTTCTTATAAGGAACATAAAGATAAGATATGCTCATAAGAAGCACATGCTTAACAACGACCAGCTGAAACACAGTTAATATCTGACCCACTATGTGTCGCCATCTTCGATATCAAACAAATAACGCTGCGGGAAATTTAAAAACCTGATAAATATCGATTGCACTTTCATGTTCTGGTAAATAAATTTAATCATTGTTTATTACGGTAAATTATTTATTAAAAAGAATACTACACTTACAGTCTATTATCGATTAATTATTGTAAATCTATTGACAGCAAATATTTTTTTTAATTTTTACATTTTTTTATTTATCAATAGGTATAAAGATATATTTTTGTTATTTTTATTTTCAAATTTTATTATTTAACCATATAACGTTTACCACCGTAAACAGATATTTTTGTTATACCTATTTTATTTATTTTTCCGTTTAAATTGAGATTGTTTTCTCATTTGAAATTTACCGGCAAATCTAGTACGTTCTAGTACAATCACGATCTGAATTTCAGTACAAGCTGTTGCTACTAAAAACCCAACGCTGCTTCACCCCTTCTTCGCCCCTTATCGATGCTAAGGTACACGGATTTTGACGCCAGCCTAAAGAAAAGTGAGTGTTCTGTGCATCATACGAACAAATATATCCTATGAATTCATTATAAGACTGTGATAACAGGGGCAAGATCGTAGTGTTGAATGTTGAAAAAAATTATAAAATTTGATAAAAATGTCGATTGTTTTTAAATGGACGGAACCGTTTATTTCGACACAACCAACCACTTTTCACCTCTTAAATGTCATTTGTCGTTTTCTTCTTCCTTGATTCGTATTGTGAGAATTATTTTTAACTTGGATGTCAACTAATCAACTTGATTTAAATTTCAATATATCTAGGTCATCCTATGTATTAGATGATTTTTAATATTCTTATTGGCCGCCTGATTTTATAAGGTAAGTTTTAATAATGATATATTGTTGAAAATATATATTTTGTACAAGGATTTCTTAATTAAATTGTCAAGTTCCGAACATAACCTAAAATCCTATGAACAATGAGTAACATACATGGTTAATTTATATATATATTTTTTTTTGGAATAAGATATTATGCTTTACTATGTTTGAATGTATTAAATAAAATTTTTCCTTTTCATATTAATTTTAGTCTTTGTGAAATTATTCATTTAATAGTTTTAAATTGTTTATTTAATAGTTAAAAGTATGTTATCTAAATCCTGTTCAAATTTCCTATTTCCTGTCTTAACATTTTAACCCTTTCTTTTTAGCATGGCTATATCTAGCACATACGTTGATTACTATACGAGGCAAGAGAGAGGTCCGACACGCCCAACATAGGGCGCGGCCATTTTGAACCCTGTGACACAGTTTACAGCTAAAGAATCAGATCGCTCACTCTGCGTCGGCACTTTTGGTCTCAATGTTCCAGTTTATACACTGCGCAACTCAGATAATACAATATATGACAACCGCCTATAATAAAACAGCAGTATTCTGCGTATCCTGGATATGTATCCCTGGAGTTGATGTTATTTTGGAACTTTCAACTGGTCCGAGTGAGCTAACTGATTCTTTAGCAATAAACTGTGATTCCAAAAATAATGTTCACTGAAACTGACAGCAGCAAGCAAAATATCAGTTGCGTTTTAATCATCCGCTTCTGCTTCCGGAATTGTCGGTTTAGTCGTTTTAACTTGTCAGATTAAAACAAGAAAATCGACAATTCCGAAGCAGAAGCGGATGATTAAAACGTACCTATTAAAAATATTGCGCCAAGATGTAGGCAACACGTAATAAGGGTTCAAAATGGCGGAGTTTTCTATCTCCTTTTAAAAGGCACTCAGAAAGCTGCGCAGTGCGGCCATTCTCCGTATAGTAAAAGAAAATCAAAGTATGTGATATCTAGACGGTTTATTTGGATTTATATCTAGACATTCTGAATTCCTATCAAGATGTTTTATGGTTTTTATACCTAGAAGTTTGTTTTGGTACAATCTGAAGACCGTGGTTTGATTCATCTCTAGAAGATCTAGACAGTTTCGAGTTTAAGTTAGAATACCAAATATCACAAGATCATTCACGTTGCAGAATTACGAATAAGGATCCCGAATCCCTTTGAAGAAGTTGTCTGAGGATATACCATGCGATAAACACTTCTTACATTACCTCCTTTTAACAAAAGATAAGTGCTATTGAATAAATCATCTTAAATTTGAATTTAGTAAAACTATGTGAATTAGAATTTGCTACTACCTTATCTAAAGCATGGTTTAAATATAATTTGTTAGTGGTTAGTGATTTTCTATATTTTTATCACTAATCTAAAGTTAAGTATACTAAATTTTAAATATAGTGGTGCCCAACTTCTTTTTCAAAGTTATTCGAGTTATTTGAATAACTAGAGATCACGTTACAACACGTCGCCTGTCAAAGTGTCAACTAAAATTCGCGTCCTTTTTACAACTTAGATTAGATCAGAATCTAACTTTTAGTTAGTCAATACTTGTAAAAACAAAACAACTAATGTAATCAATTATTGAACGAAAAATATGGTTTTATTCAATTTAGTTATAAGAAATAATTGAATAAAAAAGTTAAAAAAATAGTAAATAGTATGTTGTTTTACGAGTTACTACGATAACAATTTACCATCAGAGGCGCGGCCGGGGTTGAAATTGTTCGCGAGCTTCAAAAAATGATTTTCGACAATTAAAATGCTATAGGGTAGAGTGGGACAGATTCGGACACCGAAAAAAACAAATTCCAATATCGCTGTTCAAGATATGATATAGATTTAAAAAAAAAGTATTAAGTAAAAAAATTAAACAAAAAATGTTCCATTTGTCCGAAACTGCCTCATAGTGGGGTAGTTCCGGACAGGCGTGGGGCAGTTCCGGACAGGCGTGGGGTAGTTCCGGATAGGCATAGGGGTAGTTTATGACAAGTTCTAATTAGGTAAAAAAAATAAAGTTTAAAAATTATATTTATTAAAAATAATTTCGTGTTATCTTAAGCCGACCCTGATCAGAGCTGTTACAGAGCTGCCGCTTTGTCTATGTTTCGATACCGCAGGATAGAGACAAATGCACTCCCTCGAGAAGCTACCAGACAAATCGGTGTGTGGCAGCTGAGTCATAGAGGCAGAAATTCCGGAGATTCTAGATCGTCGAGAATGTACTAGTGCAGAGCTGGCTTTATATAAATAACTCGAGTTTGACGGTAGACGTTAATTTCAATATACGTGTTGTATAGAAAAGATAAATTGTAATAAATAAATTAGAATTGTGAGTTATAATAGTGCCTAAGTTTTAAATAAATTAATTAGTACGTTATAAATAAAATATAAATAAACTTTTTAATAAATAAACTATTTCTAAATTAAACAATCGTTATGGCGGTTTTCCACTAAACGAACAAGACAAGAAAAAAAAACAGAAGTGCAACTTTTCGCAAACTTTTTGAAGACTCGCGTGTTTTGGGACAGTTGGAGTTTTGTTTCTCGAGTCCCGCTCGGAAGCGGTAATACCAAAAGTTTTCGACATATTTTGAAACTCGAGTCTGTTTACTGGAAATGGTCGTGTTGTGTAGGTGTAGTCTAAATTTTGTACCAAATTGGTACCTACAGGTAATTAAATAATGTATTTTTTATAGATAATTAGTAATAAGTAATTTATTTTTAAATTCCTGATAAATTTATATAAGTATGTTTATGAGTAGAGTATATATCTGTATGTCAGAGCCAGACTAGGTTAAGTCAAAATACATTTTAGGTTTTTATGGTGTCACATACATCTTTTAAACTACATCTATATATATTTTCAAATAGGACCTATCTTAAAAAATAAATAGATATTATAAATATAAATAAAATATTGAAAAACGTGTTCTGACTTCCTTGCGACAACCAGTGGAAAAGGACCAAAAACAAAAACAAAACTGGAACAAAATGTAGTCCGCTTGATGGAAACAAGAGTTTTGGGTTTGTCTCAGTTTTGTTTTTGTTTTTCAAGTTCCAGGAAACACCAACAAAACATAAACTCAGCTGTCCGTTTAGTGGAAAACCGTCTTTACAATATAAAACTAAAATTTTAATTAACACGTAAACCTAAGAATAACAAATAAATAAAACAAAACGTATCAACATTTAAGCCAAAAATAAATAACATTAAATTGTAAAACTGACACC